GTATCTCATGGTGAGTACTAGACCCGACATTGCCTATGTTGTTAGTTGTTTGAGTAGGTATATGTCTAATCCTGGTTTACCTCATTGGAATGCTCTTAAGTGGTTGCTTAGGTATTTGAAATCTACTGTTAATCATGCGTTGATTTTCAATAGGTGTTCTGAGGGTGTTATGTTGAGTGGGTATGTGGATTCGAATTTTGCTAACGATAGAGATAATAGGAAATCCATTACCTCTTATGTGTTTACTCTCTGCGGGTCGTGCATTAGTTGGAAGTCTCAACTTCAACCCATCGTTGTCCTTTCCACTACTGATCCGAGTATGTGGCCGCTACCGAAGCGTTTAAGGAAGCCATTTGGCTTAAACGTCTCCTAACAGAGATTGGTAGTCTTAATCAGGACATTTGTGTGTTTTCTGATAGTCAATCTGCTATTCAACTGTGCAAAAATCATGTTTTTCATGATAGAACTAAGCATATTGATGTTAGATTTCATTTTATACGTGATATTGTTAGTGCAGGTGATATCAAGTTGATTAAAATTCCATATGTGTTCTTCATCCTTTGTGGGTGAAATTTGGACGAGACCTGAGATGGAACTAGATTCTACATAAATATTTATGCAAAATTTAATAATTTATACTTTTATGATAATGTTTTTGACAAAAAAAATCTTATCATTTTCACATTATCAATACTTCTATCAAGCTCCTTAAAGCTCGCAAAGTCTGTGAGCCACGTATGTGTAAGGAATAATTGTATTTAGATTTTGATGATGCTAAGCTAATTAGGACTTTAGAGTATCCCTGTTTAGTAAATTTGTATTAGATTTTTTTTGTAAGTATTAGCATAGTCGACTGGCCAGATTCTCTCTTGGATCTCTGTCCGGACCAGAGTTACTACCAGAGCTGGTCACCAGAGTTGCTACCAGAGCTGGTCACCAGAGTTGCTACTAGAGCTGGTCACCAGAGTTGCTACCAGAGCCGGTCACACGAGTTGCTATCAGAGAACCCCATCAGACTTGCTCACACTTAGAAACATTCGAAGAAGTCTCAAATAGTCGTTACAACTAACGGGAAATTCCCTAACGGCTAGGAGCCTCTCAACGGAAGACGTTATTGTTCACGTATTAAATGCTCATTTAATGAGCTTCACTCGTTGAGATATTTAAAGCTGATGATTGACCAAGGATCCAAGAGGATAATATTTAATACACCCCAAGATAGTAAGGCGGCCACTTTACTGGAACCAACCGGTCAAATCAACCGTACAAGCATTTAATGATGTTGTCTTCTACACTCCAACGGGAAGACTACTCTCAGTATATAAGATACTCTTCGAAGGACTGGAACCCTAACGATTCAACAACTATTCTCTCTAAGTGCACACATTCAAACGCTCAAAGACTACAACTTCCATTTTTCAAGAGCAAAAAGATCTTATGTTAGAAAAGATTATAAACTCAATATCTTTTCTTTCCAACGTGAGAGAATCGTTCCTCCAGTTCTTCAACTCTTCAAAAGCCTCAACTACACATCCTTTGTAACGAAGCAACGTTGGAGAAACCTTTTGATACCAAACACTTCTTGCAAAAGAAGTGACGTCTCAAAGTAACTGGAGTGATGAAATGGTGATACTTCAAGGAGACTCAGTGAAAAGAGACCAATCATCAGGAAGCTAGGAAGAGCATCTCGGGTGACAACTAGACTTGAAGAAGAAGAGGAGTGCTTCTTAATTAAGTGCTAGGACTAAGGCTGTGTAATCCGTCGTTTTTACAAGCTTAGTGGAACAGTGGACTGGAGGAACGCGTTGTTCCTTGAACCACTATAAAAATCTCTAGTGTCATTTACTTTACGCACTTTACTTTTCTGCATTAAGATTATGACTGCTTGACTCAAAAGGTTTGGACTCTGTGTTCAGCAGATCTCCCTTGTGAGTTAACAGAAAGGCATTTTCCTTAGTGTTTTTCCGAGGCTACCCGAACAGAGAACCTATCCGCTGCCAAGACCAGTTCTGTCACCAGAACTCGACCTTCTCTGTCAAGTCTTCTAAGACTTAGAGAAAAGTTTGAAAACTTGAACAGTCTATTCACCCTCCCCCCCCCCCCCCCAGACTGTTCCTTTGTTAAACGGGACCAACAATATGTTTGGCACAACTAGTTGAAAAGCTACTTTTGTGAACTTTTTAGTAACTGTTAGCTTTTAGTGATCGAAAAAGTCTTAAAATAAAAAGGCGATAGTTGTTTGATAAAAAGTTGTCTGTTTGATTTAGTTATGTTTGGCATACAAGCTCTTGGGACTAGTTAATGCTAAAAGCAGCAGACTTTTCTCAGATGCTCTCATTGTAGCATCTCAAAAAAAGATCTTTTATTTTTTAGAAAAAAGTTCTTAAAAGGTGTCATGTCAAACAATCAACTAGAAACTTTTATGAACTTTTTAAATAGTACAAAAGCTACAAGTAGAGACTTATGCCTACCAAACATGCTCATAAGCTCAGAACAAAAGGCTCTACTTGGTTGGATAATAGAAGATCTTGACTTGCACCATTCAAACCGAGGGCAGGGCGGACTATAGTAGAGACCCAAGGGGTCACAGCCCTCCCAAAAAAAATATTTTTTCATTATATATATGAAAAAAATAAAATTGCCCCCCTCCCCAAATATAAATAATTGTAATATTTGATTTCCCAAATTTTGATTAAACATCTACTAAGGGTGAAAAATGTAAGAAATAAAAATATAGAAATTAAAAGTTAAAAAGTGACACATAGTCTATATGAATCTATATACTATGAATAATTGTGTATTCTCTTAAACAAAAATCTGAAAATTTGAGGGCAAGACTAATTTCTAAAAATAGAAATTGAACGTGACATGTATTCTAATACTATATACTCTGTATAAAAATAAAATGAAGCAATGCTCATAATTTTTTACTCAAAATTTGTGATTGAGGAATTTATCTCTTTGGAGAAATACCAGACACAATTTTAAGGTATTAACTTTACTCTTTTGTAATACGGAGTAACATATTTGTGTCTGCTTCTAGTTTTTTGTCTACTGTGTACTATTTTAATGCAAAATAATTATACTAATGAACTTTTATAATAATTTTGTTTCAGCTACGGTGAGGACGTATCCGTTGTGAAGGCAGTGGGGACAGCTTCCCCCCCCCCCCCCCCCCCCCTAACTCCAACCTTGTCCTTATATATAACCAAAAAAGGTATAGGCAAAAATATGAGTTAAACATAGGAAAAATTATAAAATAAGATTAAAAGTGTTTTCTTCCCTAAACATAAGATTTATGTAATCCCATCATAAAAAATAAAAGGATAAAATATTCACTGAATTTTGTTATGTTTAACTTCTATTTAGGTAATTTTTCTCAAATTTATCTACAATTGCATCTTTCCACACACGTAATATAAATTGACCTTTTTATACTCCCTCCGTTCCTTATAACTTTGCCAACTTTCCTTTTTTGGATGTCCACTAACTTTGTCACTTTCCCTTTTAAGTAAAGAAATTGTGGTTTCAGTTAATTATCTCTCCTCTACACAAACCTCAACCACACAGTTTTTACTTTATTAATCTCCGTGCCAGTCAAACTTGGCAAAGTATTGAGGGACGGAGGGAGTAATACTTGTACATTTATAACTTAAACTAATTAAGTCTAATCAAATAATAATAATAATTTGATATGTTATTTGTGAAATATGTTAGTTACTAAGTTCTCGTGTAAGTTGACCGCCGAGTTTCCCCCCTCCCCTCCCCCCAAGATGTGTTTCCTGGTCTACCCCTAAACTCGGATAATGCCTTATTTAGCAGTTACCGTTGTACTGTCTCTACATGTAGTGTATTACTCCGTCCGTCCTAGAACTATCTTCCCACTTTCATTTTTCGTTTGTCTTAAATTAATCTTTTATCCTTATTGGCAAAGAATTTGTGGTTCAAGGATTTATTATACATTCTAACACATTTTTCCCTCATCTGCACAACACCGCACAATTCCCCTACTTTCTTAATCTCGTGAAAAACCCCATTTGAAGATAATTCAGGGACGGATGCGTACTAAGGTTTAGGTATTCATCTTTTAAAGTTGATCATGATAGTAAAGTTTGTTCTCACATGACTTACATCTTATGTGTTGATGTAAACTTTTAACATCGGTTGAACCATTTCACCCTGAAAAGCCCCTTCTATTGAAATATAAGGATGTTTTCTTTTGGACTGAAATTTTTGATCTGGTCTGGTTTGATCTGGTCTGTTAAATGTCTGGTCTCTGTATATTTTATAACTCCGGAAGTCTGGTCTGGTCTGATCTAGGACTGGAAACAATCCAAAAGAAAACAGTCCTAAATCGTGTATTTGTACATCAGTACATATGTAGTTAGCATGGGCCATTAAATTGCTCGACATAACTAGTAGGTTGACTGCATAAACCGGAGCAACTAATGGGCCCGACCTCGTCGTTCAAGAAGAAGGCAAGCCCAAAGATGGAAATATGGTGTGGCATCCTACATCAATCGCTGTAATGCTTGACAGAATTATTATTCTAATTCAGTGATTAATTCCTCAAAATACTGGCTGCACTACTAATAAAGCTGCCAACTTTTTTGAATTATACAAAGACGGATACTTTTGGAGCTGTTAGTGGGTCAAATGAATCCTGCGAAGAATCGAAAGCAGTACTAGAAATGTTCTGTGAGCTGCAAGAATGTAATGAGGAATTTCTCTAAATACGAGTTAAAAGGTTTTCGAATTACAAAATAAAATAATATAAATAGTATTTCGTATTATGTTTTTATACTTTGAATATGAGTAATTACGGTTAATCTCAGAAAGTATTATCATATTTAAATCTGTTAAAGTCAAAACATAACAATAATTACTCTATTTTGAAATTTTGAACATTTCTACTACTATTTTAAACAATTTCTTAACATTATTTGGTTGGCTAGAAGTGGGGAAAGCATATATAATCGAATGTGATGGTGCGTGGGCCGTGGGACACTTTGGCAACTACACAAAGGCATCTCATGAAATCAAGCAGGCCTTATATATATTTATAGGTGCTAGAGGACAACAAGTTTCATCCAGAAAAGAAAAAAGAATTTAAACTTGAAGAGGAAGAAGAAAACTGGGGAGTAAAATGGAAAGGGGAGGAAATGTCATAAGCTGCCACACCACCGAAACCTGGGACAATGTGCTTTCCCAGGGCATGCAAGAGAAAAGATTGGTACATCCTTTTTTATATATATATTTCAATGAATAACTATTTTGATCAGATTACTTTTTTTGAAGATAGATGTGAAATGCATTTTGTTAAAAATATTTTCATACAAATATAAAATTTATGACTTTCATAACATTATATTCCTAATCAAAATTATTGGGAAACTTTACTACCAATGACTAGAGAAGTTAAAGATGACAAGGTTTTATAGGACAGAAGTAGGCATGGACCGGTTCCGGTTCGGGCCTGGGCCCAGCTGGGCCTCGGTTCAAGAAGGGGAGGCCCGGAACCGGCCCGGGTAACCCCGGGTCCGAGTCGGGCCGGGCCGGGCCAGGCCTCGGTTCTATTTTTTTTTTTTTTTTTTTTTGCTTTTCCTAGTTAACCCCCAACCCTCCCCCTCACCCCAAACCAACCCTAACCACCTCAAATGGCCCAAAATACCCAGCCCAACCCAAAAACTTAAAAAAATCAAAAAAAAAATGGCCCGGCCTGGGCCCAAACCGGCCGAGCCGGTTCACCTTTTGAAGGGCCCGAGCCCGAACCGCAATCCCACCGGGCCGGTTGGCCCGAACCGGGCCCGGAACCGGTTCACCGGACCGGGCCGGTCCGGTTCCGGGCCGGTTGGCCCGGCCCGAGTCCACCCCTAGACAGAAGTAGTAATTCCGAAAATTATACACACTAAAATCATTCGGTTAAACCATATATGTAAGCCTCAGTTTGACTTAGGTGCCCTTGTTATATACCTACAGATGATTGTTGACTTCACGGCTTCATGGTGTGGTCCTTGCCGAACCATAGCCCCATTCGTAGCATCCTTGGCTAAAAGCACACCTGATGTCCTCTTCCTCAAGGTGGACGTGGATGAATTGCCGGTAAGAACGCACTAAACGCCTATATATTGCACGAAAACGCGAGAAGCATCGGGAAACAGAATGGAAACGTACTCTTTACCGAGAGTTTCTTGCTTCATAGATCTAACATTCTTTCTTTTTAAAATTATTATTATGGTAGTTCTTCGAAGGATGATAAATATTTTGTTTTGTTTATGATGGATATGCAGTTGGTGGCTGAAGATTGGGGCGTAAAGGGAATGCCAACATTCATGTTCCTAAAGGAAGGCAGAATTTTGGAGTCTTTTGTTGGAGCCAAGAAAGATAAGTTGCAGCAGCTTCTTGCCAAACACACCATGAAATATCCTGCTGCTTCAGATGATTCATATATCAAAGTTGAAATTGTTGGCTAAATAATTGTTATTATTAGATACTCCCTCCGTCCCGCTAGAAGGTTCCCACTTTCCTTTTTTGGACGTCCCGTTAGAAGGTTCACATTTCCATTGTAGGAAACAATTAACAATCTTAAGTGACAAAATAATCATTAAATATTAGAAATAATACATTTATAACATCACATTTATCGATACTAACTACATTATAATATATACCTATTAATATTATTTCTCAAAATATACTCGAAGTACTTTATTTAATTATTGTCTAAATAACCGTGCCATTTTGTTATGAGAACCTTCCAACGGGACAGAGGGAGTATATATTATTAATTATATTATCAATCATTTGACAAGTCCTATTGCTGGATCAGAGTATCGTTTATACGGAGTATTTTGTAATTTTCAGCGTTATTATATACGAAGTCTAATAATCATGATGAGAGTTACTACATATAATTTTGTATTTTGTTGCGATGATGGATTAATCTTCAATTTTGAAGAATAAATTAATATATGCTCTCAACTTTGCATCTCACATACTTTTAGTTTTTACATAGTTTTGCACTTTTACACCTGTGTTCTTTATCAATTACAACATGCCGAGTAATATACAAATTGTATATTAAATAATTATAAAAACTGTTGTTCAATTTGTTCCTACGTAGAATTCCAAACTGGACGGGAACCTTCTAATGGAACAAAGATAGTATATATTAATAGTCAAAGTTGTATCTCGACAAGTGTGAAATGTTTACCGTCGCACTTATTTAAAAACGGAGGAAGTACTTGTTTGGCTCAGATATTTCAGGTGACACCGACAGAAAAAGGGCCAGCCGGCCAGGTGATATTTATTTTTAAAATTACTTTTACATGTAATGGTCCAACCTTACAAGTTACAACGGTACAAATGGTGGAATGTAAAATGATGATGAAAAGGATACACAAATAATGATTTAACTGATCAGATAGTTACTTGCAGTTTAGAGCCAACTCATCGAGAAATGCACAAATGCAAATTTCCATTTCAACAAACTACACAAATGAATGAAGTCTAAAGCAGTACAAAGTATGGATAGGGACACGCTGGGATCCATTTTTAACATGAACCTAAGAGGAGCGGGGTTTAATCTCCCCAGATTCACATAATCTATCAGTGTGTTGACTCAATAAGACAATGCAACTCATCCGGTCATCACTTCCAGTTAATAACGGATATGGACCGGAGTAGTCATGATATATCTCATTCCCAGAAACCGTCGAGAATATGCACTCACCTTGTATTTCAAAGAAGTAATAGGACCCTTTGGCACCTCTAAATTATACACTACCTACCTTTTACACTTTTACACTTTTACACTCAATAAACAATAATAAATCACTCCATCAGCCGTGCTAATTATTATTCTTTCTACTGTGTCCCTTCTTTCATTCAGTGAATTGATCAAGTCCCTTGTGGGCTATTTTACCAATTTCCATCAATTCCATTGAGAAGGGGCGCAGGTTGCTTCAACAGTCAAACGCTTCACTACATTTGGGCATGGATCTCCAAAGTTAGTATTTGATATTGCTACAGAACACCTTTTTTGACCAATACAGCGCTGCAATAGTTTAGACAACACAATCATAAGAATACATAAAATGACATCAGACTATGGTTAGCAATATGGTTAGTATTTGGTAGGCTTTTGGTTTGTTTGTCTTATTAAACATATTAGTCATCTATTCCACAAACTCTATCTATTGTCACAGCCTCACCGGGATAGCAGAATCGCCTGTAACGAAAAGAAGCAATGCATAATTTTCTTTTTAGATACGTAGTGTTTTAGGTGTTTCGCATTTACCAGATTTGTGGCTAATATATAGGAATGATATAAATATTATCTCAAGCTTTTCGTGTGAATTAGGCCCAATTTAACAAAACTTTTTAAAATATACGGAGTATTTTTTTTAATGATTTTTAGATGATTTACATATTAAACTATTTCAGCCACATTTGATGTTTTCAACAACATAGCTACAACAATTCAGCCCCCTACTAAGCAGACACCAAGGTGGTTTTTAATGACAGGGTCTAGCCGATACCTTTTCCAAGACAGAGTATGAGCTAAGAGCGTGGCAGGGGCCTTGCTGGAAGGTCCCACAGGTTCCCAGGGGAGTCCCAAAGCTTGCAAACTTTATGGAGGAAATGGATTGACCAGGACCACAGTGGAGGTGGACTTTTGGTTTGGGTGGCTCCTTGGGCCCACCGAAGCTTTCAATCTCCCAATTCTTAATGCTTGGGTGAATCTCACCAACATCAGCACACACAGTGGACACTGATCTCTTCACAACAGATATCCTTGTTGGATCTCCTCCAAGTTCTTCAAAAAGGACCAACAGATTTTCTGATGGTTTCAGCCAAGACCTAGGCACATGGTACCTAAAACCAGAAATTGTTTAAGGGTCTATTTGGAACCAGATAGTGCTAAGAAAAGAAATTGGGGGAAAATAGAATATAGTTGGGGGGGGGGGGGGGATTGGGGGTGAAAATGAAAGATTACTCGGCATGTTTGAAACAGCTCATAATATGGGTTATAGGTGCGTTTTTATCTTATAAGCTGTTATTGTGTGTGTGCGTGAATATATGTATATAAAAACAAGGTTTGGGAATCTGCTAAATCTATAGTCAACTTATTTTTATAAATACAATTTGCTCTCTTGAATCTGAAAAATTGTATATTATGATTTTTTTTCAACCACTTATCTTTTTCTTTCAGCTATTTCCATTATTTTTTGCCTTGTAAAAAATGGTTTCCATGGAATCAGTTATATTGAAATCACTTTTCAGCAAGCATGCCCGAACAAAAATTGATTTTAATTATAACCGACTACACCAATAATCAACTGTAAATGTAAACAGTATTCAAATAATCTAACCTTTCAGTTTCAGCTATCCCAAACGAGTTCCCAAATTATATAGACTTGCTTATATTTGTTCAACTTCATTATTATTGCTTTTATAAATATGATGATTAAGAAATTCAAATGTGTAAAAATATATTTATAAAGATTTCATTTCCTTGGCAATATTCATCATAGTCCACTATATAAAGGACAAAGAAATTTGAACATGTGGGAAAAAATCATTTTCTTTGGCATTTCCCACAGTAAAGCCAAACATAGAAATTAATTTCCTTGAGAACTTTTTTTTTCTCTAATTTCTTAGGATCCCAATATACCCTAACATTCTAGAACAAACATGCCTAGTTTGTTTTGCTTCTTTGCAAGAGAACTTTTTGTTGAATCTTACCAACGTTGAGTTGGTTGACCACAGCCAAGCTGGCACTTTTGAGGCTTAAATGGTCCCACATAATTGCATCCCGTGCACTTCCCAGATGCATAAGCAGTCCAATATCTACCAAGATTCTGGCCATTAATCCATATTTGACCTTTTCCCATGCTAGTCATGTCCAATGCTAAAGGTTCATCTCCATCTGGCGCATTGAAATTAGCCTACAAAAATACGTTGATGTCTTAAAAGAAAGTCTTCATTGAAGACGTTATCTTTTATTAGTTTTTTGAAGTCATACCTTATGCCACGTTAAGGGCTGCTGTCTCTGTGCAACCAATGAACCCTGCATCCAGTCACCACCCATACCATTGGTAGACATGAGATTCATGTACTCCCCTTTAAGACCGACCTGAGAAAAATGTCACAAGAATAATAAGGATCAATTTGGAACCAAGAAAATACTACAGAATGATAATTGGAAGGAAATAGATAGGATTTATGAAAGGAAAGAAAATTTAGGATAAAATATAAAGATAATTACATATTCAGTAAATTTATTTCAGTATCCTTTAAGGTTTTTAAATCCGATAAAATATAAAGATAATTACATATTCATATAAAGATAATTACATATTCAGTAATTTATCATAAATATTGTTTGTCTCTTCTTTCTCTATTTAAGGTTTTTAAATCCAATATTTATGATGATTCATGTTAGCTGACCTCAAACTCTTTTTAGAATAAGGCTGGGATGTTGTTGTATACTAAGCCTAAATATTTGAAATACTATGTATGTTTTTTGTAAAAAACTATCAAAATCAGTTCCTATACCGTGGGAGCAGCTCACTTGAGCATCCTGCTCCCATGACTTTGTTTTTATTCCAGCAATAGGCTTGGTGTAACTTGTGTTTAAAGCAATGTAATTCACATTGATAAGAAATGTAACTTGAGTCAAATTGAAATGTAAGTTATCTAAAATAAAATATAAGATGTAAATAAAGAAAAATAGAGTCTAATTGACGAATTATTTTACATAAATAGTGTATATGATTTGTTTTTAATATCAAAGCCATTAAAATGATTTTTAATAAAAAATCATTTTTGTTTGAATAATAGGGGTTTATTTTGTTGTGTAACTCACATTGTTTTGTGGTGTAATTTGCATTATGGCAAATGTGAATCACATGTAAGCAAGATGTAACTTATGGAGGAATAATTAGATGTAACTCGCGAATAATAAAATGTAACTCTCGAATAATAAGATATAACTTCATATATTATCAAATGTAACTCTAATATTAAATTTAAAGGAATAATAATATCATCATTAATACACATAAATAATCATTTTAATGCACAGCTTGGCTGTACACATCCTGGATTTCAATGGTCAAGAAGCTTGAAGAAATTGAAAACATGATCTTTCCAGAAATCAAAAAACAAAGCATATAACTTTTCTTAGTCGGTGACTCGGTGGAAGCAAAGTTAGTTAACCGACATATATCTCAATTCACTAGAAATATTCATTCTCATCTTCGAAAGTTGGAACAAGTTTCGTCGTTTAAATCCCTGCGGCAGAAGGGGAGGGGATAAAGGAGAAGGTCCGACGATCCCAGGAGGATAGCTTGGCGGAGAAGAAAATATGATTTGGATGGTTTTTAATTAATGAAACGACACAATATTGGGATTGGCACACCATGCGCATGGTGAGCCGATCCCACGGTATAATTTGCCATCAAAATACAAATCACCATTAATTTTCATTAGCATTTATCAGGGTCAAACCAAACATAATAAAATGGCTTTCTTTTAGCATAATTTTTTATTGCCTATTTGCTGTGCCCCAAACATACCCTAAAATGAAATCGAAAATTAAATTGCATTTAATAATACATTGCATATGCAAAGATAATGACCTGATAGGTCCATTTTGCCCATGACAAGTCCCACTTTCCATGATCGAGCCCTTCAAGTGCAACTGGACCCAAAATTCCTGTGTTCCATGTTTCGAAATGCCCTCCCACATTCTATCAAAAAAGTAGAAAACATAAACAAAAAAACAAATACTAAGCAACTTCAAATATTGTTAACTTTGAACCAAGCTTTCCATGTGATAAAATAATAGTCGATAGAAGGACAGACCTGCAGTCCAACAGCCACACTGAGCAATGCTATTTTGTTGGTCCCAGCTCGGAGGTTGACCTTTCCTTTAAAGGTCAATCTCCTGTTCTGCCTTGTACCAAATGCAGAACCTTCATAAAATCAGTTGTTCTTTGTTTATTATTTGTTTAATTACAGCACAAATCTGCATGATCTAGCAAACCTTCAAACTGAGTACCTGACAGCTGTCCATTGACAAAAACATGAAGTGCATGACCAGATGACTGAACTATTAATGTTGGGAGTTGCCCGTCATGAAGGAAGGACTCAGTTGAACCTATTTCAACACTTCAATTCACAGAAAATACATTCCATCATTATATCATACAGAGAGTTGAATGAATTGTTAATTGTCCTACCTCAAATGTCTACCAAATTTGGTTGTATCTAATACGGAGTACATAAATATTAGGTAAACTTATCACGATCCTTTAATCCTTTTGGGGTGACTTAGGTCTAATTTAATATGAATATAGTATCATAGCAAGATCCGGTACTCTGATGTGCTAAAGCCCGAGCCAAGTTCATTTTTTCTTAAATTTTTAGTGTAAATTTTTAGGTTTTCTATTTAAGCCCACTCTGCTGTTGCTTTAGGCTTAGTATAACCACTCGTCAGCCCAATCCAACCCAAATATTTGCATCTGCCCCTGTTTATTTGGCACATTATATTTTAGGGTAGCACTTGGGTGTTTTTGGCCTATTTATCCTTCCTTAAGTTGTCTCGTGTGGTTTGAATATGAAGGAAGATAAGTAATGAATAATAGGACTTATGGCAGATTCTATGTGAATCATAACTTACTTTGTCTGATACCATAAATAATCACTTGTGTCCCTAGTGACATTGATTTGCTCCAAGAGACCAAAAGCTGTAAATGATGAGCTTTCACCCAATGCATAAATATCTTCGCTGTATGTTTCCCATGAGTACATCTCTGAATTAGTTGGCAGCATTTCCATTTGTGATGTCTGAACTCCAACCTGCACAAGGGTTCAGAAAATTGTTACAAACTCCTGCGAGATCCCAGTGTGCTTACCAAAGAAACAACAAGCTGCCACGTAACAATTAATTCTCCTCCGACTCGTTTGGAGCCCTATAAAACTGGGGAATAGGAAGGGATACATAGAAGGAAAATAAAAGGAATGTAAGCATGGGGGATATAAAAAAATACATAGGCTAAAACTCGATGATTTCATATTAGCTAAATGCCTCCAATCATTTTGTTTATTCATGTCTATCTACTATATAAAAGGGGGATACAATATAAAGATTTTTTAAAGGATAAAACTCAAATGAATTTATTTTGGCTAATTGCTACCACGCATTATATTTATTAATGTCTATTATGTTAAGGCACAGGGCATAGATAAAAATTAAAAGGAATAAAAAAATTGGGGGGCGGGGTTAAAGGGATAAAATCATAAAACTCAATGATTTTAGTTTAGCTAATGTTAACAATTTAACATTCATTTTATTTATTTATGTCTATTATATAAACATATGTAACATTTTAAAACTAATCATATTACTAGTACATTTTACTTGGTATTATCCAAGCTAAATCCATACATACAAAGATACATTCAACATTTTTTCCCATTTCCTAAACATTTTTTCCTGCTACCCTAGCATTGTGAACCAAACTGACCCGAAAGCATGAGGATAAGGGAAGTGATATTGAACACTTGATAAATAAAAATAAATATAAAGAAATGAAAAGTAGAAAAAAAATTATCATACTTTTGCTGTGTTGAACACTACATTCTTGCAGTCTGGGAGGATGCTGATGGACCAAGGAGGCAAATTATAGTGCATGTTATTAAACATCACTCTTGCCGCAGAATGTGTGTCATAGTTTGAGAGAAAAGATGCACATTCTCCATTCCCAGAAGAGTATGTGTATGCCTATAACAAACAAGGTCAAACACACACAACAATTCTGAAAAAATGCACATACTATATATAGCTAGAAACAGGAGTTGTCAATTAGAAGAAAAAACCTGTTGATGGCTTCCCAAGGAAGTTGTGGAAGGATCTGTTGACACTATAGCCTTCTCGCATAGCTTCACGGCCCGATGAAGCTCTTTCAAATGGTCATATTTTGGTTGTCTGATCAAACCTGCAACATTTGGAAGACGTGACACATAAAGCACTGGTGGCCTGAAGTTGCATCTGATTAAGGATTGCTGGTTGCATACAGCCATGTCACAACAATTGGATGTAACATTAAGAAGATGTTTTTAAATACAGACATATAAGCATTACATTTTTTATCTTGGGTTTAAAAAAGCGTGCTCTTCACAAACAGTCTGTGAGGGGTTGTGAAAAAATGGCATACCAGCGTGAGGCTCCTGCAACTTATTTATTTTTTCTAATTTTTATTTCTCTTTATTCAGGCTTAGTGGACCATTTTTACACCAAACACTAATTTATTTCACTCTGTTGACTCAATCAATTGATAATGAGAATAAAAGTAGTGCACCATTTACTTGTTATGCTCTCATGAAAGAGAATGGCATTTATACACTTCTTTAAAAAACTTTATTTAATTTACTTTAAGATATTTTGAACAGCTTTTGTACATAGTTCACCAATGTCAGCCACAACTTCATCATATTTAGCCAGTTTAAGCCTTGCCAAAGGGCAAGTAGGACATGAATGAACAAATCATGAAAACAAGTAGTCTTCATAGTTTCATACCGTACTCATCAAGGGGAGCATCATAGTCATAGCTAGTGGTTACGAAAGGGCCTCCGGCAGAGCGTCCAAAGTTGGTGCCTCCGTGGTACTGATAAGGCATATGAAGAAGAAGGACTCAGCTAATTCAGTTCATAACGAGGAACTTCAAAACCATTGAAAGGAAAACAGGTAGTTGATAATGTACTGAATGTAGTAGTTGTCAAAACCGTTGAAACTTGAAAAATAATCTGACCATGTAGTAGTTGACAAATGAACCTCCTTTTTGTATGAATTTAGCAACTGCAAATGCCAAATCCTGAACTGGCCTCTCATAATTGGGACCTCCAAATTCGGAAAACCTTGTCACAAAAAACAGAAGAGTTAAGTATTGCCAAAGTTTTTATAATATCCCAACTTAAGGTATGCTCAAATCCCACAATATGATAGAAGAAAGGGAGGGGGAGTTGCTAAAGAAAGGTATGTTATTGCTTTTTTTTGCTTTGTAAAATGCAAAGTAAAATATGATTAGCATTATAAAAAAAAAGTATTTTAATATTTAATCCATTATATAAAAAAATAATTAAATAAATAAATCAAGTGAGTTTTAAAGAAAATATAAAAAATTATCCTGGTTAAGCTTATCCTACAATTTTCCACAATTTTTATTTACTTCCAATTTCCCCAGCTATTTATCTTTTCCTTGGATTTCCTATTTCCCTCCGTAACAAACAGGAAGCAAGTAAAGCTGGGGGCAAGATTGCATACCAGCCACTCCACGCCTCTGTCCAAATTGTTGGCTTGTATGGTTGGTTGGGAGAGAACTTATCACAGTAGAAACCATTGCATGTGTTAATCTGATTTCACCCGAGACAGCAAAAGAAAAAGTCAAAGTTTTGGAGCAGAATAAAATTTGAATTTAAGAATTAAATAATTGACATGAAACAATGTAGCAGACAAAAATAAAATTCAACTAGAATAGTCAAGGGTAGCTTACCACAGGATCTGGGGCATCTTCTTCTTTGCACATAACCCAAGGGACCCCAGTGCCCATTTCAACAGCCATTTTAGCAGCCCATGTGACATAATTATACCCTGAGGCCCCAAGCATTTTTGCTTGCTGTCCATATTCATTCTCAATCTGTAGCACCAGAATTTCATTAAGGTGTTATATTCGATCTATTTTTTTATGATCAGATCCAGATGTTTTGGGTCTGATCAGAATTTCTCCGATCTGATCTGGAAGTTTTTGAGATGGTCTAAATGTTTCCGTTCTGATCTGAATGATTCTAATCTAATCCGTATATTTATGATTAGATCTGATTTGGTTATGATTTGATTTGATTTGAATATTTATGATCTGAGTGTATATAATTATTGTTATTAATTCCTTAGTATACTAACTATGGGTGATAGTATTATTTTAAGTTATTTTCCCTTATATTAAAAACCTACTTGTGCATTTATTATATTAATAATAATAAATCAAAACAGATAAAAATGATACAGTAACAATGATATATTAATACTATACAAAGAATAATAATAATAATAATAATAACAATAACAAAACTATCATAATTAACGATGATAATATATGAATAATAATGACAACAATAAGAACAATAATAATGACAGCAATAACAATAATAATAATTGATAATAATAAATAATAAATCATGTGTGAAATTTTTAGTCTAATCTCAGTCACTGATCTGATTTGATATGAACGTTTCTGATTGAATTTTTTAAGTTTGATCCGATGTGATTAAAATATGAATAAAAAATGAGTATTAAAATTAAAACAAACAACACAACTTCTTAATCAGGTCAATTAAAAAGTGACAAAATAAAAACAAGTTTGGAATGCCTGGATACTATTGTATCCATTTCACAATAACAGTCTTTTTGGTTAAGAAATATTTAATATCATTATTAATAATAATAATAATACGGAGTAATAGATCATGTGTGAACTTTTCTGATATGATCTAATCTCAATGTTACTGGCCTCATTTAGTTTTAATATTTCTCATCTAATCTATTTTTTTTTAATTTGATCTGATGTGATTAACATATGAATAAGATAATGGAATTAAAATTAAAACAAACAAAATAAGCTTCTTAACCAGGGCAACTAAAATTGTGACAAAAAGAAGTTTTGAATGCTCAAGAGCTATTGTATCCATTTGACAATAACTGTCTTTTTGGTTGAGAAATCTTTAGTTTTAATATCTGCAAATTTTTTTTTGAAAGAATATCTGCAAGTTAAAAAAATTAGAGCGTCTCAAAAAAATTATTCCATTTTTCCTTCTCCGTCTCAGCTCTCAATTAAAGTACCTAGTAATAATTTATATTAGTTCCAAAAAGGGTATTAGACTATTAATTAAAGTGCATTCTAGGAACAGATAATTGTACTCATATAATATTACACTGCTTTTTTTAAATTCCAAGATATTTAATGAGTTTCTAGATATGTATGATTAATCCTTTAAACAACATTTATTGCAGACAGATGCAGCAATGTACTGCTCAAAATTTAGAGCTGGATTTGAAGAAGCAGTTTTGCAAAAGAAAGAAAAAAAGAATGAGATCTATACCTGGGACAGTATAATTGGGCCACCCTGAGACTCATACAAATTGTGGCTTTTCATCAAGTTTACAATTTTTCCTGTAAAACCTTTCATGGCCATCTGCCAGGTCAAACAGAAGTAAATATTCATGAACACGTAAACCGATAATTGACCATAGCAGCAGTGACTGTTTAAAGCCACTAACTGCTAAACTGCATAAGAAAAAGGATGAAAGAGAAAAGAACAGGAAGGAAGAAGACCTTGAAGGGCTCATTATCTGCTCTGAAGCTAATTCCAGGAACAAACTTCAGCCAAACTGGGAACCCTCTGTAACCAAGAATTGAAGAAGTAAATACTATAAGCGGGTGTAAAGAATGTCGTTCAAACAAAAAAAAAAGTTTTCCCATGAAGATTGAGAATAAAGAAAACTGAAAAGGTTAAGAATGAATCACTTTTATCATTATCGTGATTGCACTTTTAAGTCAAATAAACTTGGTTGCAAAAGTTGCACATAATTACACTATGACACTACATTTTTCCAATTTAACTCCTAACTTCTTTTGAGCCTTTAGATCCACAATCTCAATTTTCATTTTTTACTCCTCTGTGTTTTGAACCCTTAGATCCGCGAACTAATGCACTGCATTCATTCTCATTTTTCCTAATAATCACTATACACACACAATAATCAGTGCCCAACTTAAGAAGAAGGTTCAAATCTTCATACTGGCAGAGAAATGAAGAAAATACGGTCTGACACCACTCCATAGTTCCAGATCTTAGATATGAAGAGCAAGGAGTAGAGACGTACCCAAAATTCCACTCTCCACATATGTAAGGCCCTATGCGAAGATGAGCATAAAGCCCTGCTTTCTGAATTGTCTTCACAAACCTTACCAAATCATATCTCCCTTCAAAGTTGTACTGGAATCCATAGAAAGTTCGAGCAACAAGACAAATTAATTAAAGAGCAAAAAGAAACTAAAATGAAGAAGAGAGAGGGGATAATATGAACTTACATTGCCAGGAGAAGGCTCGTGGACGTTCCAAAACACATAGGTCTCAATCACATCTAATCCTCCTTCTTTAGCCTTGTGTATGAGATCTTCCCACATCTATTTGAACAGATCAACAGATTTGAGCAAAACTTCTTCTTCTTCGAAATAATGAGAATGAGAGAGAATATATTACCTCCGGGGTGCTTCTTGGGTAGTGAATGGAGCCAGAAAAAAGCAGCCTTCTTTCTCCGTTGATAATAATGGCCTTGCTATCATAGGTTACAGTAGAGCGAGTCAGCTCACAGCTTAGCAGGAACACCATTAGCAGCAACCCCCATTTCATAGTCATTCCCACCTGCCAATTTCTCTCCTTCGAACTAAGCTGGATGAGTATATGGAGGGAAATTTGAAGCTGCAACCCCGCAAAATGTGAAGTTGCAGAAAGGTCCGCACTCTGTAGATCTCTATCTACAAGGCCTGGAGGAGAAAACGAGAAATGAGTCTACTTGTAGGCTGTTATATACTACGTACTATCTACTTCGTATATATACTTACTCCGTATAAAGATTAACCAAGTGCATTTAGTAAACATATCAACCTTTCTTACCTTTTGGACTGGCTTTGACTATTTAACTGTCCAGAGGCAGACCCACTAAGGGTCTCACGGGTCCCGGGACTCCGTGCACCTCGAAAAAAATACTTATATATATTATATATATTATATAAAATTACTTATACAATGTATATTTACACAAAAAATGACTTTAGAATCAAAAGAATGGAGTAGTGCAGCGGTGATGGGTGCTTATTCTAAATATGAGGTGCGGGTTCGAAACTTGGCATCTTCCTTTTATTCCTTTTTTTAAGTGCTAGACTTAAACAATGTATACGAATTTCCAACAAAAACTTCAACTTGGTTCATTTAGTTGTTGAGTATGACCTTTGTTCAAATGATGATGACTAGAGCTCGAATCTCACCTCCATCTTTCTTAATTTTTGCTACTTTTCTTCAATTTAATCCTTCTTTTCTTTAAAGGAAAATTCGCTTTTGTTATCCTCCAAATTAAACTTTTATTTTCTTCATTTCTTCACGTTAAATGTATCCAAATAACATCAAATGTATCAGAAAATACAAAATACACGCATAGGACTGCACTAATGCAAATTAACGACAAATAATAAAAGTATGTACAAAAGTACAACTTTAATAACTAAAATTATCAGCAAACTAGGCCTAAAAAGTGTGTAAAATATAAGCACATCAGTCACCCAGTTTTTTTTCTCTGCCGCTTTTCTTTGCATATCTTTTTTTTAATGTTAGATTAAATTAATAAATTCGTGTATTTATAAATGTTATTTTCAATTTTATATGATTTAGGATGAAAAGATATTTTGATGTTGTACCCAAATTTAAAAAACCTAGAGTACCGAGAGATCGATAAACCCGGAATACAAACAATCAAACAATCTAAGCAGTTAAAGAAGAAGCAGATAGAAAGAGATGTTTATATTATACACGAATCTGGTATACCGTATGAAACCCCGCTGCTCTCCCTGGAGAAGGAGAGCAGTGGAAACCCTACTCTCTCTATCTCGCATCAGCGTCTCTCAAGCCTCTATCGATAGTTAGGGTTCCCGTAAGTTAGCCTCCTTTTATAGGAGAAGTTGGCTAACTTACGGGTTACAAGGAAGCCCCCGGGCTGATACACATTTGTGGTCCGTATTACACGTTTAATTAATAACTACACAAATACAAAGATATTTAATTAGATTGGACACCATAAAATATTCTTAACAATCTCCCCCTTGGTGTTCAATCGTGTTGAATCAGCATTGCAGCGCAAATATCTTTGTCTTTGTTGTTATTCAGCTTCCTTTTACTTTGAACTTGACTTCTGAGGAAGGCTATCTGAAGAAATCCTTGCAATCTCCCCTTTGATGTCTTCTTGACAATTTGATCTTTGATGACGGGGGTTGAGGGACCTTCTGTATCTTGCATGTAGTCCTTGCCTTCCAGAAGTTGCTCTTGATCAGCTTGGATGAAGTCCGGTGACGTCTCTAGAATGAATATTCTTTGGAGAATAGGAGACGCCCATGGAATTCATCTTCAGGACACGAGTATTTGACCTCTGTCTCCTCTACAATGTAGTCTTTTTGACTATTTGGAATGAATGCATTTGAGGAGAACTTGTCGGTGGCACAACGGAACATAATGATTGTTGATTTGTGAATGTAGCTGACCATTTGATTTGAGTTGTAGAGATAGCAGAGAAGGTGTTGATTTTTGTGATGGAGGAGTGAAGTGTCCCAGAATGATTTGTTCAGTGTTAACAGCATGTGGACCACTCTCCCCCTCATGACGATCCGATGAATCGGGATGTCATGCTTTTATTCTTTTATTCTGCGGAAATGAAACAGGAAACAAACAGAAAGAGTAAATGATAAAAGCCCCTCGGGGTCGTGTAGACACCCGTTTTCATCACTATAGAGATAAACTCTAAAGCAATGGCCTGAAAATGTTGGTGATTCTTATGTTGCAACAGCAGGACTTCCTTCCAATCATTAGTCTACATCTGCAATAGATGAGACCTATGGAAGTTCTCGCGGGTCTTTGAAGACCTGCAACTGACTCAAAAAGTGTGTCGGTGTCCTAGAAAATTCAAAACATTTGGGAGTGAGGTAACTAGACACGACGTGATCAATGAATGTTCAGTGGCATGGGGCTGAGGCCACTGTAGTCAGTATTACTTGCCTCGGAAGGAGACAGTAATGAGAGATGCGGTTCCCCGTGAAGTATGATTAAACACATGTCTGTTGGGAGACAAGTGAGTGGTCTTGGGTAGGGTTCATCGTGCACTGTTGGACAAGATGCAGTGACTTCTACCCGGGATCTGATTTAATCAGTCCTGAACCTATTTGGGAATTGTCCAGAGTATTTGAGTTGCTAGGAGTAAAAGTTCAATGGATAATAGGCAGTTGAGGTAGCAGACTCATCATTGATTATTGTTTTTCTTCTCACTTGAGCCTTCTGCTTCCTAACGCTCATAATGTTCACTCACTCGCTCACTCACTCACTTACGCTCGGCTTTGTCCCTTGGGTAGGCTTAGTTGGGTTTACTAAGCCATAGGGACATGTTCTCTCATTACTTTCTTCATTTTCTCTCTGTACTTCCCCTCAACTGGAGCACTCTGTATGCTTTGTCATTGTTAGGCACCGGGAAGGATAACATTGAACACTCCCCCTAAAATGTTGCATCCTTTGAGAGATTCCTTGCTTTGTCGGTGTAAGGCGCTAGGAGGAGAAACCTGAAACTCCCCCTCAGAATGTGCAAGGTTTGATTGCTCACAGCTCGTCATATCCGCCATGTGTGTGGAGCAATCTGAACAAGTACCACACATGACGGTTTCCCTGAGCTCATCATGTAGAATTTCAGCATATTGATGATCACATAATGTTGATGAGTCAGAGGAGGCTTCAGTGGTTGATTGTTGATTGCTGTAAGATGACCATTGACGCGAGGTTGATTGAATTATCTAGGACTTTCGGACCTTTACAGTTAGGTTTAGAAAAGCTTTGACCTCAGGGTTGACATTGAAAGAATTTGAACAGATTTGCCTAAGTTTTGACCTGGACATCAGTGATTTACAATGGTTGTCGGAAAACTAACGTTTTGACCCTCAAAGACTGCGAGTGAGGGCGCGTGAGAAAGGGTTCTGGGGCATAGCTTGAGAATTAATGTAGATCTTTTCGTTAGCTTTCCAACAAAAAAAAAAGTTTGCTCAAATCGGATCACCGAGTCAAAAGTTATGGCCAAAACAGTGCGATGTCGCAGAAAATCTCTAATTTTGAGTTTTTGATGAATTTCTTCGAAGTTGAGGTTCTCGATGATGAATATCGAGAGCAGGTGGATTTTAAACAGATTACAATCTCGAGGTTTACATCTTGAGATTACAATCTCGAGGTTTAAATCTCGAGATTACAATCTCGATGTTTAAATCTCGAGATTACAATCTCGAGGTTTAAATCTCGAGATTACAATCTCGAGGTTTAAATCTCGAGATTACAATCTCGAGGTTTAAATCTCGATATTACGATCTCGAGGTTTAAATCAAGAGATTACAATCTCGAGGTTTAAATCTCGAGATTACAATCTCAAGTTTAAATCTCGAGATTACAATCTCGAGTTTGCCTCGAAGAATAATGGCGAAATCCACCTGCAAAACAAACCTCAGAATATCGAAATATGCAGAATTTCAAAATGTTTGGAACATCGAAAACTTTGGAGTTTCGAAAACATTAGAAAATCGAAAACTTGCCGTTTGAAAAACATCAGAACATCGAAAACTTCTAAAAACTTTGAAAAACAGAGATTCGTCCAAAAATCCTAATATGTAAAGCTTCGAAGTGTTCTGAACAGGAAAGATATCAAGTTTAGAAGAGATCAGTGATTCAAGAAACTCCAAACTTTGAAAAATTCAAAACATCGAGAAATTTTGAAAATCTCGAAATCTTAAGAATGTCGAGATCCTAAACATCGAGATCCCAAATGTCAAAATCCCAAAACTCGAAATTCCAAAACTCGAGGTTTCAAAACTCGAGATTTCAAAACTCGAGATGTCAAAACTCGAGATGACAAAACTCGAGATGTCAAAACTCGAGATGTCAAAACTCGAGATGTCAAAACTCGAGATGACAAAAACTCGAGATGACAAAACTCGAGATGTCAAATCTCGAGATTTCAAAAGTCGAGAAGAGGAAATGGAGTCCCTAAATGTCGAGATCCTGCAAAATGAAAACAGCGATTTTTTAAAATCTGAAACCTGTTCTGAAAAGCCCTGAAGGTCGAGATTCTCCTGTATCAGTTTCAAGTCAAAAAACGTTTCTGCAGCAGTGAAAAATAAGGATTTCGAGATCTCAATGTAGAGATCTTCGAAATATAAAAAATGCAGAAAACGAAAAAAAAGGTATGCTGCTGGATCGGTTTTGAAAGGCGAGTCCAACAGTATGATTTTTACAAAATTTCGTTCACAAACAAGATTACAGGAGCAAATCTTTACATATAGAAAAACAGAAGAAAAGCAGAACAATTCTTCGTTAGATCCAAAAAATCGCAGATAGATCCAACCTGTTTCACGCCTCGGCTCTGATACCAATCGATAAACCCAGAATACAAACAATCAAACAATCTAAGCAGTTAAAGAAGAAGCAGATAGAAAGAGATATTTATATTATACACGAATCTGGTATACCGTATGAAACTCTGCTGCTCTCCCTGGAGAAGGAGAGCAGCGGAAACCCTACTCTCTCTATCTCGCCTCAGCGTCTCTCAAGCCTCTATCGATAGTTAGGGTTCCTGTAAGTTAGCCTCCTTTTATAGGAGAAGTTGGCTAACTTACGGGTTACAAGGAAGCCCCCGGGCTGATACACATTTGTGGCCCGTATTACACGTTTAATTAATAACTACACAAATACAAAG